ACCATGTAAAGGAAAAGGGAACCAATGAGGATCGTACGATTACCACCAGGGATTGGATTCGATATTCAGAAATACCTAGTTTCTTACAGAAAACACATTGAACCATGCGGCCAATAAAATCACAACTGAAATCATGCTACAATAATTATTCTTAAGTTAAATTTTAAAAAACACATCCATCTGTATATACATGGTTGCTACGTGAAATCAAACATGGTGTGATACTAGCCCTGTGTCTAAAAGCAAGTGCATTTTCTTCAATTTACCAAACCGTTTCTACTGCAGCCACATTCACCTTCAGATAGCTAGTTCATATTATATACACCCTCTTTCCACCACAACATTCTCGCTTGGTTGTAATTGGACGACGGATAGCTCGATAAAAAATTAGCCACTATGACTTTACATTTTTACCCCCTCCTCCCCCTCCCCCCTCCTAGTAAAAACCAATCGTCTTTTCATCAAATGTATATTATCCATAATGTAGAAAAATAAATAGGTAAATATACATGTACAAATTAATGATTGATTGATTTTACTTAGCGCCGATTCTGCAAGATTTCAGCAATTATCGGCGGAAACTTCGATCTGTTGCATGCAAAATACATGTAGTTGATAACCTTAATATAGGGAACTAATTAACAATCCATCCTACGGACTATAATTTCAAAAATATGTTAATTTCTCTCTGTGTTTATCAACAAAATATCTCATAATGTACAAAATTTTACTTTAAAACTCAATTTGATGTAAATATTCTAAACTTCATTGTAAAATAAAATAATAATCATCCATCGTTCGTACATTTTTAATTAACTTCGTATGTAAACAACCCCACCTTAATTTAGAAGAATAAGATTTATAGTTACATGTAGCGGAAAGTCACGGGAAACATAATCGTATACCCATTGACTGAAATTCTCATCAATAAGTATGTATGCATTATTTTTGGAAGATGATTTTTCATTTTTTTGTTCTTTATAGCATATAGTTTATCGTCATCGGATACCCAAGGATGATCTCATCTTTACTCATCACCGGGTGATAAGTAAAGACGAGATCACTCGTGGATTTCCGACGATGATAGTTTATTTGTAACGCAACATTCTAATGCATTTGAAAAAGAGATTTACATAACGTAATAACAAAATATCTTTATCAACAGAAAAAAATGAAGGGATATCAATATGAATTTCAGAAATGCAAAAATTATAATTTCTTTGTTACCTGGAGTATTAGAAATGCATGCATCGAGGGACAGAAAAATAAAAATAAAAGATATGTTTAATTACGATATAAAACCATGTGCCAGAACATTTTCTTTCTTTTTCAATTCAATTAACAGACTGTTTTGAGAATGTCTTAAGAAATATTTTATTAGGAAATGCCCTGAAACCAATTTTAAAAAAAAGAATAAATAATGCAGCTATGAATTGGATAGTCGGATTCAGCTGGGTGCGTAGTATTCTAAAATAAATTATATCATATTTAGCAAGCGAGGTAGCTTTATATACATGTATGCCGACTTAACCCCCCCCCCCCCCGGCAAAAAAAACAAAAAAACAAACAAAACATTAACTAGCCTTTTGAAAAAAATAATATGTATGAAGGCACGCGGCGTACGCATCGACAACATTCTGATATCCCTTTCCGACCCAGTCCAACACAACACTTATAAAATTAAAGACATTTCATATTTATTTGTTTTATGATTTTGTAAATAAAAAAAAATAAAATAAAAAAATTGAGATTTGTAATTAAGTTATCTGTGTTGGGTATCCACCCTCTCTTAAAAAAAGGAGAATTGTAGAAGAATTTCATAATGTAGAGAACGTTTTGATGTTATAAATGAAAGTCTTAGTACAAAACGAAACCATATTCCTGTTATTCACGAACAGGTGAAATCCTGCTCAACATGATTTTTTTTCGGAGAAAAGTAATGGTATTAACGGGGTTCAAAATACTAAACATTATGCTGAATATTAAGAATACCTTTCACAAAACTATTGTTTTTTTTACATCCGACTTTAGAGCAATTTTTTTGGTTTACAAGTATTTAAAATATTAATGACGTAGAGGGATATGTTTTACAAACAGGGTCCATCTTATATTTTCGCTAGCCAAGTTAAAAAAAAAAAAAAAAAAATCATAGATAATCCATCGTCCGTATTTTTATAAACTTGCAAAATAAGGAGTGAAATATTTAAGAAAATTAACTTAAAATCTGGTAATGGAAGAGAGACAAATGTTAAGATAGAGAGAAAAAACATCTCTTTTTTAAGGAAATGATTCCCTGTGTTGAGCCTCTTTTTGCGTCAAAGGGAAGCAACTTGCACAATTTACTAGTATCGTATCCAGTCGCTTCGGACAATACGTATTTCCGTTTGAGAATTACTGATATATGAAGAAATTGCCTTAAAAAATACCAGTATTACTTGTTTCTTGATATCTCTTAATATTGTAGTTAGAAAAATGCGTTTTAAAAGATGTTGAATCGTGGCCTTTGTACATTTTGTACTGACTCGATATGCCTAGCTGTTTGTTTTGTTTTGGTTGGTTGGTTGGTTGGTTAATTTCTGTGATAAATTCGAAAATACACGTAAATTCATTCAAAGACATGAAACACTAAAGTATATCTAATATAATATTGCGAATTTAATCGTGAATGATCGGATACATGTGCACACGCTGATAGTAAATGAAGTTGACACACTAGGCTATTACTGCATGCGATTTTCTGTGCCAGATTACGTCTCCTCTGGCTAAAATTTATACTCTTAACTACAATAAAAAATATATTCTGCACTTCCTCAGTAATGCACCATGCCATTTTTTCTTCGTTATATGTCTACCAACTTATTATTTATCTGTTGTTAGAAATGGCCTTACATCTTCTGCTGTTTGAAAAAAAAAAATAAGTGTAGATCGGACTTGGCATTATTCCTCTGGCTTATGTTTACATTGATCCATGGTAACAATAAAAAATAAGGCTCTACGAAGGGGCATATGCATTTAAAATTTGTTTATTTTATTAGTACATATTTAAAATAAAATGATCCGTTTTTTGTTTTTAAAGAAAAAATCTTTGAACTGAAGTTAACGATGTCTAAAACATTCCTTAACGTGAAAAGCATGTGTAGAAAAACAGGCACGTAGTATCAGGGGGGGCCTGGACCCCCCACTTTTTCTCCCAACATTACCTTTACTATAGAAAATGTCTATTGTAAAGGTGGTTGGCCCCCTCTCTACAACAGTATATACATTGAAAAGAAAATATAGGAAAAAATTGGAAGTGAAAGTAATTTTTTCTTTAAAAAAGTTGGCCACTACCCCCCCCCCCCCCCCCCCCCCCCCCCCACGAAATAGGATTTTTGAGTTTGGTAAATTTATTAATTTTTTTTTTTTTTTTTTTTTTTTTTTTTTTTTGGCTTGTCAACTTTTTTTTAGGTAAGTAAAAAAAATTTTCTCAGGTTGGCCCCCCCACTTTCAAAAACGATGCTACGTGCCTAAAAATACCGGAAATCTTTCTCTCAACTTTATTCGCTTTTTTCTCATGATGTTGCAAACTATGTTCATTTCTATCCGACGAGGCTCAATTTATATTGATTCAATTGAATAAAACAAGAACATTGTAAAATTTTTAACGAATGATGATTTGATGACGACGTCGACGTCCATGTATACTTAGCAATGAAAACTGATACCGATATGTAGTTCCCAATCATTAAGATAAACATTTAAGTCAGTAATTTTCAACAAATTATTGATCGTTAAGAATTTTTTTAGTCCCTCTAAGCCCTGAACTTGAGGGACAAGTCCCATTTCATTATATCAAATGAAAGCTCTTTTAATTTTGCACAGCTTCTAGTATAAATGTTTTGACCATACGGTCAAAACTAATGGCAGTCAAGTTCTGGTCCACAGACCACCAATGCAAACGTCAACTACAAGGGGTATTCTGTTCCAACAACAGTATCCTGCACCAAACCTACTCAAGACCAAGAATCCACAGCCCCCAGTCTATGGCGTCTTGGCTCAACGCCATTAATATTCATGCCCTTTGAAACTATCTCGTCCATTATCCAAACAAAATTGTAGCAAATAGATTAATTAATGGATTCTCGCAAGGGCTTAAACTTCGTATCAATCTACTTTTTTGCAATGGGCTTCTATACAGCGCTCTAAAATATCAACAATTTATCATTTTCTTGACTGGAAGGGATGCCAATTCTTGTCAGGAACTTGTGCCAAATTTTCAAGGCGTTTGCGATGAAATAGATGTTCCTATTGCCCCCGCGGGTCATGATTAGAACACTATGTAATAAAGGTTTATCTTTCTGGTCTTTTGGTTTTTAAAAAATGTGTCTAAAAAGGAAGTCAAATATCACCAATTCTTATATTATTTGTCCTGTAAAGAGGACTGGGCTTTTCATTTGAACATCCTTGAATTCATTTTACACAAGGATGTTTTGTGGCAAGTAAAATTTGGTCCAGTAGTTCTTTTGCATACGTCTATAATAAGAAAAGTTTACAGACAGACGGATGACAGGCTAAATGAGATCAAAAAGCTTACTTGGGTTTTAGCTTGCATTAGATTTTAAAGCTCATTTGAGCTTCTAGCTCAGCAAGGCGAGCTAAATTTTTTTTTTTAAATTGAATAAAATGAAACGATATTTATTGCGAGTTAAGATAAATTAACATTTAATTTTTGTTTAAACAAGGTTATTTCTAAGACAAACAGATAAGATACCATGTGAGCGATCTATGTGAAAGTCATAAATGTATGAGAAACAAAAATGAGGTTACCTCACTAATTCTGAAATAACTTGCCGTTCTTATTTATAAACAAGTTAAGTAAAGGGATATGGAGGAAATGACATCAGACACTGAGAAAATAAAAAATTCAGAAACTAATTTCTACTTCTCTGGCAGTACTTGGATATGATGTTTTTTCTAAGTTTTTAATGTGTGTATTTTTGATTTTTTCGGATCGAGTAACGAATGAATGACTTATGTCATCGACCTAGTATGTCTTTGAATTAGATATGTGCTGAAGTTTCAGAAATACAGCCACAGAGGCGATGACTATTCCAGCTATTGCGCCCCCAACTGTTCCGCCAATGATGGCCAAATCCTGGGAACTCGGTAAAGAACTCTGCAAAGTAAAAATCACATGAACCTTTACTCAAGCTTGTATAAAATAATCAATCCTGCAGGAATTTTGGTTGTTAGTATATGGAAATGAATGTTGTAGCTTTTCCCGAAAAATAAACAACATTTTGTTGCTATGCTTTAGAGCTAAGCACTATAATTTACATTGTAATCAACCCTATTCAATAAAGGTTTCTCGAATATGCGTTCCAATTACTTGGTACAAGGACAACATTCTTGACTAGCATACAAACCTCCTGCATTATGGGATTTATGGAATCCATTACGATGTTGTCAGACGAGACCTCGGAAGACAAGGTAAATTTACACTGAGAGATGAAGCCATCAGCATCAATAGCACTGATAACAACGGATTGGGTACAGCAATCTCCGCTGAAATTTTTAAATTTACTCTCATGTAATAGTAGTGATTCTTGGTGTATCACATCTCATAAATACATATAGCGACTGTTAAGAATTTATTGAGACATTTTAGGTCGACCATGTGGAGCAGTGACTGAAAGGGACTCCCTTAAAATGGACTCCCTTAAAAAAAATCATTGTATCTAGGGACTCCCTTAAAATGTATCTTATCATTGCAAAAATTGTTTTTGATTGCCAAGTGCAGGATTTAAAAAATAATTATACTGTATGTTTCATAATATAGGGTTCTTGAACTTATATTGGTGAATATTGGTACAAGTTGGCTGTACAAATGCACGAGCTAGCGAGTGCATTTGTACAGCCAACGAGTGCCAATATTCACCAATATAAGTTCAAGAACTCCTTTATTATATAGCTAAAACATTTCCTAATAATTTATAATAATTATTCCAACTAAAAAAAACTCAATTTATTTGATGATTTTTTAGTAGCGGTATTCAAATTAACGCCTGTCCTGTAAGTGTTTAATTAATATCGATCGTTGACCGTACCGAACGTTATGATTTGCTTATTTAGGTTTCAATAGGTCTAATACATACTAAATTTTAATAAAATATTTCATTTTCGTGTAAAAGAACAAAAATAAACACATTTTACCTAGATGCCACTTCCTTTCTTCAATTTAGCTCTGAGAATTTAACCAGACGACTTTTTTTTTAACAACGGGGCGTTCGGTATTGAACGTATTCGGAATGTTTTGGGCATACTCGTATACGTAATACAAACTCAGTGTTCAATAAAACGCCAAGATATTGAACGCTAAAATTCTCTAGATTTTTGGTAGTATTTTATTAGAGACTATTTATTAGCTATATAATAATATCAGTTACATTATGAATCTTTATTCAAATATGACAGAACATAAATGAAGAAAAAAAACTTGATCTTTTAATGCAGGCATCCACAAGATTTAATGTGAATAATTATGAACAAGACCGTCTAAGATGGCAAATGATTGATTGATTGTATGTTGTTTAACGTCCATCTCGAGAATTTTTCACTCACGCCACCACTTGCCGATGGAGAGCTGCAAATTTTGTCTTGAACTCGGCACTCAGGGCCATTGAGCAGGCAGGGATTTTTTGCGTGCCAGCACCCACTGCGATACGGGACCTCTGTTTATATATACGATCTCATCCAAAGGAACGGTTTCCACGTTCCACAATGGAATTCGAACTAGATAGACGTTCTAATCGCGACAAGATGGCAAATGAATCGTAAATAAATTTCTAAAGTGCGTCATTTCTAAGGAAAATTGTCATAAAGTCAAATCCTACCTCTAGGTTTTGTAGGTCTTTCGTACAGGAAAGAGAGGAGGGGGTGAAAAGGGAAATGTCTCAGTAATTTCCTAACAATTCCCGAAGCTGTTTGTTAAGATGAACATGAAATTAATATATGCAAGAAATATTTTACTCGCGTTTTGTTTTTGAAGGAATTTAAGTCTTATAAAACGACTTGTTTCATTTTCATAAATGGGGGAAATATAAAAAGTATACCTTAGTGAAGCATCCACAGGACCAGAAAAAACTAGCAGTGAACTGTGTGTCAAATTAAAAGAAGAACTGGACACAGACATAGATCTTAAACCCGTTCCGGAAAAATTAAATTCAGCTTTCCCTTGCCACACAACATCGCCGCAACTACTGTCGTTAAAAGGTTGATTTCTGCAGGTATCTTCATTTAAAGTCACATAACACGATGGACGTGTGGCAGATGATACCTTAAAATGTTATGATCAAAGTTTTAGTGCCAATACCGATTTCTCCATTTTTTGTTCCGGTAAGCATTAATATAAATATGTACCATTTGAAAAGCAGAATTATGTTTAGAGAGAGATAGAGAATATCTACCGTCATTTTCTTGGTGACAGATTGAAGCTCTACTGACGTTTCTTTCTCCTGCACCGATATCTGTAAAGTACTATTCAAAAGGAAATGTATTATTAATTAACTCTTTTCTATTGTTACTCTTTCTCCCCTTTGAATTGTGTTAAAATATTATGGTAACTAAAAGGAATAAATCGATTAAAAAGAGATACGTTACACAATAGTCGAAGGGATTGTTCCTCTTATATTAAACGATTCCTCTGTAATTTCCCCTGGCTGAATAACTAATGTTATGGATCTATTTCCGACAATAAAACTCCTGTCATCAGACACTGTCACAACAACAGTTTTGTTGACTGCACCATGGTTGGTGATTGTGTATGGAATTGTTTCCAATTTTGAAAGAGGCAGATCACCTGAAAGTTTAGCATAATAGTATCAATCACTCATAAACAGGGACTAGACGTCATTGCTAGTTGTAAAAATGAATTGTTTGACTCTTGTTCAAACTTTGTAAAATAAAACAGAAGACAAGGAGTGTTTCTTATATATTCAGGCTTTATCATATGTGTGCTAATGGTTACATCTGCCGAATGCCTTACATGGAATCTACTGTGATCGGCGCTATCCAATTTTAATTTTGTTTCATTCTACATCAAAGTTTCCAAATGGAAGATAAAATGTACTTACCGATAAAAGGGCGCATTGTGAGGGATACGTCTACAGGATTGATGGAATGTCTAACGGAGCGAACGAAAGGATGGCCAATAGAATCTGTACCATGTAACTGAATTCCTGATACCTAAATGTTAAGGGTTTATGTAAAATCGTCTTGAATAACTATCTAGCAGATATTTATCATCAACTTAAAACTGATAGAAATACAACAGAACCTGTTGGACAATTTTTGTTTTGGCATAATACTGGAGACTTGGTGAGGAGCTGAGAAGACTGGCATTCATTTCTCGGATGGTCCTTCCTGCTTCGTCCACCAATTTGAGGTAAGTCACGGTATAGTTTGTGGGGAGGTTTTGTAGTGATGTAACAACTAAATACTCTTTGCCTAGAAAATAGGTTTTTGCTTCAGATTAAAATTCTGTTATTTAAGTTCATTTCGGAAATTACATTTAACAATCAATACATGACGAATTTATACCCGATAAAGGGTTTCCCTTCACTGGGAAAGGGATGCCTTCCATTGACATCTCAAGTAAAGATGATGTAATATCAAACGAGCTATTGGATGTGATAGTCACATTCCACTGATTATCACTAACTTTCTTCAGATTCCAATTTCCTTTTTCTAGGGACTGAAAGTATAAATTGACATTATATACTTTGTCTTTGCATCAATTAAAATTTTAATCGGAATCAAAGCAGTCGTTAAAATTAGAATTTTAGAGCATTATTAATTTAGAGGGAATACGGTTTATTTAAATTTAACGAGATTCATACCTGAATTGATATCAGTAAACCTGTTTGTTGTACATTTTTGTCGATAGATCCAAGTAAAACCAATGTACCTGTTGAAACATATCATTTAAAATCTGTTTTTTGAAGTATCTGACGTATTAAATTAGCAAAGTAATAAACTGTTTTAATAAGATATTTTCACTTTTAAACATTAGGGATTTTTTTACTTACCGTTTGGATTGCTCAGTTGTATGTCACTTGAATTTGTTGTTCCATTAATTTCAATGTACAGAGAATATACTGAATTATCAACTTCAATTGTGAAATTGCCAGTGTCATCTCGGCCGATGGTTCCCCATTTGATTATAGATGTAGATGATGGTATATTACCCTGTTTGTTTGCAGATTATTTGTCATGCAGAGAAGCCAAATATTTTACAAGTACGTGTCTTACTATGTAAAATATTTTAAACCGTACTATTTACTTATTCAATTAGTTTTTAATATTGAGAATTTTTTTTTTAAAAAATCAAACTACGTGCACGATAAGTAAAATTTAAAACATAAAATTATGATTGATTCACGAGTCGAATGAATAGGACAAGAATTTAAAAAGTTGTGAATTTTGTTTGATCATATAGACGGAACTTTCCGCAGTTAATTCAGTATATGTAGAAACAAAGGCGATAACAATTGATTCTATACAAGTCAGCCAAAATACAACCCAATGATAGGATATATATGCTAACAAGGCCATAAAATGCCAACTTTAAACAAGGATTTTGAAATCCATGTAACATCAACTTTTAAGTAAGTAGCACGCATCGCTTCAAAAATTGATCGTACTCGGAGCAAGCCCTTGAGTAGCGAATAAGTTTGTAGGCAAACACCGTAAGCAGGCAATTGAGGAATAAGATTTACGATTTGTTTGTATAGAAAAATCTTCCTTTTTTTTGGACAAATTTTTAATCTTAAGTCTTTAGCTAATAATTTTAGTCGCTTTACAAAATTTCCCGATAACGTGATTGTTAGAAAAAAATAACTGAATTTAATGTTCTGCAGTAATTTTTAAGAAGCAGAAATGGAAATATTTTCATGCTTTGCAGTTCTAACAAAAATATTGTTTCTGTTAGATTTCAACAGTTTTTAAAATTTCTATTCAGAGTTGTACAATTATGCGAAGAAATCAAAGTCCCTCAAATCTTATTATGTAAAACATGTACTAAGTAAGCAAATTTACGTTAAATTGAAAGTTTCATTTTTTTGTTACACTATCTATAAATAAATACTTATTTACATTGAAATTATCCACTTGAACATTCGCGGTATTAGGAACAAGCGTATTTAACACAATAGTACATGATCTTAACAGAAGAAATATTGAATCTCCTAAATGTATTTGTGGTCAGAATTGAGGATTTTATTATATTTTCTTTGTTTGTAAAAGATATATAATAGCAAGAAATAATCTTTTTGACAAACTTTTTAGACTGGACGAATCGATTCTAATAGACACACATCTGTTGTTATGGGGTACTGACACTTTATCTTATAATATGAATTGTCTTATTTTTTCAGCAGTTCACAAATTTATCAATGAATCTGGAAGATTTAATTAACATTTCAATTTATTTATGTTAATTGTCAATATTATATACTTTATTTTATTATACTTTCTTGTTAAATACTAAAATCTGATTGGTTTATACGCAGTTAACAATCTGTTCTATTACCCTCAGCCTTAGCAACACACGTGACAACGGGTAACACAACGGTAATGCCACATGCGTGGAAATTATGCGCGTACGGTTCACCGTAGAATTCTCAAAACGTCAGTTGCGCGTTTGAAAGAACCGGAATAAACTTGACGTCAATAAAAGCTTGCGTCCGATGTAGCTTACTTGAAAACAACAAACGACAGACGAAAGGCGAGTGCAGAAATAACGAAACTTTAGATGATAAAGGACTCGTAGAGTATCAAATAAACAATAAAGAGGTCAGTAAATCTTTTTCGAATAAGCGGGGAGTTTGAAAGCTTTCTAAACGTGAACGAAAAGGCGATCGACGATTTGTATTGCTGACATAGTAAATCAAGAAGACATTCAGTATAATAAAATAAATGGTGCCTGTTTTGGAGGGTAACAGTTGAAATTGACACCCCTCGGAAAACCATTGTCAACCTCCCCTGACGCGTCGGTTGACAATGGTTTTCCTTGGGGTGTCAATTTCAACTGTTACCCTCCAAAACAGACACCATTTATGTAATGTTATTATTATGACAACTGTACTAACTGTATCTACTTTACTAACACCAGGAAATTAAAGAACTTGTAAGTTGTAAGAACTTGTTTCTGATCCTTTTGTGTTAAATAATAAAATATGTTCAAATCAAAATCAAATCAAATAAATACTTACCGTGTTCAAGGTTTCGGTGGAGTTACTTTGGATAATATTCAAATCGTTCTAAACATGAAACAAGAAATTGTCTACTTTCATATTATTATACAAACGAATGTTTGTCTAATTCGGAAAAAAATTCACATTTTTAAACTATAAAAGTATTACCAGTAAATCTTCTTCAACCTTTGAAGCTAACTCCGACGACGATGAAAACCTTTGAACATCGCCACCCGTTGTTTGTGCTATACGATCATACACAGAAGACTGACGCTTATATCTTTCTGTAAGAGATCAGATAAAAACGTGTATTTGGGATGCTCACTCCGCCATGGCAACTAATCCCACCTCTGATGCTTTGCAGGTCCGTTTTCGCTCTGCTCCTATTGGTATTGTTTTATGGACTTTTGATCTTGAATACTGTTCGTTTTCTCGTTTTCTAATATATAATTCCTTTTTTTAATCTCATGTTAGTAAAAACTAAATACATCAATTCAATGTATTTTAGAAAATCAAACCTATTGCACGTCTTCGTCGACCACATTCATTGCGCAGACGAAATTTTGCTGTACTGTTCTTTTCCAGTAGAGTACTTATAACCTCGGCTTCTTTTTCAGGGTCTTTGGGAGGCGCGTCCGTATAAATGTAAACGGGTGAGTTCGGATTAGACAGAGTTACCCCTGCAAAAATCAATTGATTAATTTTAAAAGTAAATTCTAGAAACATCGTTTAAACCTTAAAGACATAATTATAAGAAGCATATTTTAAAAAATGTTATTTTTAAATGTATATTACTATTGAAAATCCCTTTTTTGACAAGAGGCAAAAATAGCTTTCACGGCCATATTAGTTTAATACATGTAAACAGCTGTATAATAAGCAACTTCAAGGATCCACAGAAGAATAAAATGGAACAAAGCCATCCTTTAAAAAATGTTTGCTTGGCCTCTCTCGATTCAAGGTAAATTATTGTGTCAGTGGCTAGGTTAGAAAATCTTTTTCCAGAAAATTTCAACATACTTGTATTTGTTGGTGGAACAAAGGGACTAAATGGGGGAAAAATTAAGAGTTCTGAAATGAAAAAAAAGGTTTGAGTCGGACCAATTTTAGTCGGTCGGGAGAGGGCAACCAAACAATTTTTTAAAGATGGCTTTACGTGTTTGTCAGGATAGTCATTTGTTTGCTTTAATCTTTGTTTGAATAATTAGCTAAAAATTAGTAAACTTTTGCATGAGGATATCACACAACACTTAGAAGTCAACGTAGCAAAAGATGAAGCTACCCGTTAATAAACCAGAAAGACTGTATTCGGGACAGTCATCTCCACCACTAACAGAGAGTTTGTTTAACCAATCAACCATTTCGTCTCCATCAGCTGTTACTCGGCTTGTTTCAAGATGAACTAAAAAATAAAATTTATATAAATAGCATTCAATTTTTTCATTTTTTTAAATTCATACAAGAACCAGAAGTCTCTGTCGAGACTGTAGCTCTACTGGTTTGTACTTATAACAAAGGATAAGAAAAGAAGCCATTGCATTCAGACCAAAACTGTAGAAGGAGTGATGTTTTAAAGGAATTTCACAGACATTTCTATTTTTAGTACTAATGGCAACATCATTCATCAAAATCAAAAACCGATACACTATTTAATGTATCTTAGTGTAGTCTACTTGTGTGCCAAGTTAAATTGAAATCAGACCAAAACTGTAGAAGGAGTAGTGTTTTAAAGGAATTTCACAGAAAATTCTATTTTTAGTAACCACGGCAACACCATTCATCGAAATCAAAAACCGATGCACAGAATTATGTGTCTTAGTGTAGTCTACTTGTGTGCCAAGTTACATTGAAATCGGACCAAAACTGTAGGAGGAGTAGCATTTTGAAAAATTGTTTACAGACAGACAGACAGACGGACGGACGACAGACACCTTACTATTGCATAAGCTCTTCTGGTCTCTGACCAGTAGAGCTAAAAACCGATGCACAGAATTATGTATCTTAGTATAGTCTACTTGTGTGCCAAATTATATTGTAATCGGACCAAAACTGTAGGAGGAGTAGCATTTTAAAAGAATTTCTCAGAAATTTCTATTTTTAGTAACCATGGCAACACCGTTCATCGAAAGCGAAAACCAATGCACAGAATTATGTATCTTAGTGTAGTCTACTTGTGTGCCAAGTAATATTGAAATTAGACCAAAACTGTAGGAGGAGTAGCATTTAGAAAGAATTTAACAGAAATTTCTATTTTTAGTAACCACGGCAACACCGTTAATCGAAATCAAAAACCCATGCACAGAATTATGTATCTTAGTGTAGTCTACTTGTGTGCCAGGTAATATTGAAATTGGACCAAAACTGTGGGAGGAGTAGCATTTCGAAAGAATTTCACAGAAATTTCTATTTTTAGTAACCACGGCAACACCATTCATCGAAATCAAAAAAACCGATGCACAGAATTATGTATCTTAGTGTAGTCTACTTGTGTCCCAAGTAATATTGAAATTGGACCAAAACTGTAGGAGGAGTAGCATTTCGAAAGAATTTCACAGAAATTTCTATTTTTAGTAACCACGGCAACACCGTTAATCGAAATCAAAAACCGATGCACAGAATTATGTATCTTAGTGTAGTCTACTTGTGTGCCAAGTTATACTGAAATCGGACCAAAACTGTAGGAGGAGTAGCATTTCGAAAGAATTTCACAGAAATTTCTATTTTTAGTAACCACGGCAACACCATTCTTCGAAATCATAAACCGATGCACAAAATTATGTATCTTGGTGTAGTCTACTTGTGTGCCAGGTTATATTGAAATCGGACCAAAACTGTAGGAGGAGTAGCATTTTGAAAAATTGTTTACAGACAGACAGACAGACAGACGGACGGACGACGGACGCATTACTATCGCATAAGCTCTTCTGGTCTCTGACCAGTAGAGCTAAAATGCATGACCATAGAAGAGATTGTCGAGTATGTAAAATTCAACGAAATAATTAAATTGAATATAAATTCTCGGTAGATATGTGCATGTTTAATACAAATTTTCAATCAAACCTGGATCACTGAATGTTACTAGAATATATTTCTCTGGCACATTTTCTGTTTTCTTTATAGCGCTCACGAATGACATTGTTCCTCTCTTTAGTCCCTCTATATTGTCAGCCATTGATCCAGTAACGTCGACGACGAATGCAATTGAATAGTTTTTAATTTCTTTATTTCCTGAATTTGATTTGATCTGGAATATCTCTGTAGATAGGTGAGTTCCTAGCATGTTGAAAAGGCCGTCATCTTTAAATAGGAAAGATGCAAGATTCGACGATACATCTTTAAAATTGTTATCTTAATGCATATTTTAAATTATCTTTATTTTTACCCCTTCCTTGATTAATTCAAGTGATGCTAGATAAACAAGAACAAGAATACGAGTATTTTCCTTCTTAATTAGCCAAGGTTTGAGCCTTCTCAAAACTAAAAGAAATGGGGAAGCAAAACCTATGAAGGAAAAAGAAAATTAACGAAGTACACCATTTGACATCGAATATATGACTGTATGGAACGTTACATAGTGTTAGCATAAAACAACGCTTCGTATCAAAACTACATTTAAGAAATAACCAAGGATGTTAAAAAGTTATCTGGGAAATAAACTTAGTTGGTCATGTGATTAAATCCTGTGAAGCCCGAAGGGTTTCTCAGTAGATTTGATCACGTATCAAGTAAGTTCAGTTCCCAGTGAACTTTTTTTTACATTGTTGTTTATTACTTATTTACATTTGAGACGAATAAATTCCGAGTAAAACTGCATTTATTCACGAACGGACCGCCGTATTGGTATGTTATGACTAGTTAGAATAATCTAACACACTCGGGAGAAGCCCTCGCCACAGTTAGAATGCCACCCATATACATGCAATGTAGCAAAAAATTGCAGAATCGCTCCGAAACGATTTTGAAGAATACAAAGGGATTTGCACTGAAAATAACTTCCAAATTAATCATAACAAACCTTTTTGGGGCTGTGTAAGTATTTAAACCTAAAGTTTAGTCTAAATAAAGACGAAAATTCAACTAATTTTCTCAACGTTTTTTTCTCGCTTCAAATTTACATGCCATGTTTAGGTTCAGAGCTCACTTGATTGTTCATAGTAAATGCACAAGTAAGAGTTATAGCCCGTGTTTACTTTGCTACATTGTGAATACACGGAACGCATTCTATCGTTAAACCGGGTCCGTAGGACATTTATCATTTTAACGATAGAACTTTCTATCTGTGTTATGACCTAGAAGTTGTGGTCTTGAAAGTTCATCTCGCTCCAACATTTGAATGTTTACATTCATGTTTAGCAATGCAGTATCTGTTTATAGTGAAAGAACAATGATCGCTGCAGCTGAGAATAATCTTACTATTTCTTTAGTTCTTAATTTATTTGAGGTTAAAAGCGGTGGTATCGCCTATTTTAGCTTACATAACTAAAGGAATTTCGGGTTCAAAAGGTAAGTGCAGTTTAGGCTAATTAGTATTCCAAACATTCACATCAAAAGATGATTGAAAAATATCCATTTTTTTAATAATTTTTTAATCATTTTATCTTTTTTCATTGTTATTAAGTTAGAAATATTCCCAAACAAGACAGAAAGATGTAGACAAAATATCTCGCTCTGTGATTCCGTCGCACCATGACCTCTGACCCCCAAATAAAGTTCATACAGAATTGAACATATTTTCTCTTCCACAGGTTCATCTAAGAAAGATATTTGCAAATGTAAATATTTTGGTATGAATAGGATAAAAGCCAGATTTACATGAGCAAAAGTAAGTGTAATATTACTTATTAGCTCTACAGCACTTTCAGTGCCACGTTCTTGGTTTAAGGATAAACACAAACTTTTTTCTTCGGAATCCAAAATTCAGATATGTTTAATAAATTAGGTGCCTTTCTCCATTCTCACTGTAGAAGTGATATTTGATTAGTTAAACTACGTTATATTTGGCCAACCTACATAATTTAGCAAAAAGATCAAAAATGCAACCTTACAGTTCAGTATGTTTTTTTTTTTAAATTTTAAAAATGTTTTCAGTTTTCTGGCTTCAAATTAAAGTTTCTGTGGACATTTTCAAGAGTGTATTTTAACACTTTACAGAACTAAAACTTATAAATAACATTTCCATTAAAAGAATTTTTAAAAAAAAAAATACCAGTGTAACTCTTCTGTGTGGGAGATAAGAAAATTTGTTTGTGGTATGTATCCTTTATTTTCAAAAAAAAACTTTTTACAAGCATCATATAGTAATGATATTCAAAATTACAGAAGTAAGGAGTTGATCCTTACGCCGCGGGTTCGAATTCCACTGTGAGGCGTGGTGAATTGCCCTTGAGACCGTACGAACCGAGGTCCCGTGTCGCAGTAGGGGCTTGACACGAAAACAACGTCTCACTGCCTAATGGCGGTAAGTGCCGAGTATACATGTATATGTAGGACAAAATTTGCAGCTTTCCACGGGCAAGTGGTGGCGTCGGACATTAATTAACATACAACCAAACAGAATTATACTTATTAGCCAACTTTGCGTTTGATGTATTATTAATGTATATTGAAAAGTCAAATACCTTCATGTGATAAAAAATAAACAGAGGCTTGTTTGGCGGCCTCAAAAGCTTGTTCGTGCAAGTGGAAGTGAGGAGCATGTGCAGCGGATGATCTCCCCTTATAAATACCACCCGTGGCTGTCTTAAGTCGGGTTGTGTCATCCTGCGAACCGTGACTACATTTTCCTGTCTGCCCTTCACTTTTGAGCGGTTTGGATACATCTTGCCCTGCTCTGTATCCACTGGTTAATTTAGTTGTTATGGTATTGTTGATGCACATTCCATTTTGAATGCTTCATTTTTTATAAAAGAAAAGGTTTTCTTCGTTTAAATCACAATTTCGAACTTTTGTATTGCATCATATTAATTATTTTGAGAACAAGCACCAAGCAAACGTCAGAAAGAATGCGTGTTAAACTCGCAAAGGAAATATGTACTTAAATATTTCAAAATATTTATATTTGTTATATAAGACGTATTCTAACTACGAACAAGTCGAAAAACGATATTGTATTTTTGTTACGTCGTAGACAAAACAAGGATACGCAAAACGGGGCATCGCTGATCTTTTCTTTTTATTTTGATGAAACAGAACAACATACCTCGCATATTTGTAAGAGAATTGTACTTTAATCTATCAATAATATGTAAATCTCATCACAAATAAGTAAAAAGGACCTAAAGTGACTATTTTCTGAGACGAGGTAAGTATTTGACAACCAAATTGATAAACAAGAATATTAAGAGTCTCTTTTAAGTCATTATTTTGCAATATCTATGGCCGATACAATGTCCTTGTCGGTAACTACAATCTTGAATTTATTCAAATGTCGATGGCTGTTTTTCATATTAATTTTTAGGCCATTTACACATGGTATTGCAAACGGATTTTCCCGTTTCCCCCCGGGCACATGATAACAGGTGTGAACTGTAGCCAGTGGGATACACACTTCTCCATGGCACTTGATCCCCCGTCTGATGGTTTAAAGGTCCCTGCTGCCCCTGACTTGTAGAGTTTGAACGGACTTTTGAGCGTTAATGCTGTTTTTTTGTTACGTTATGCCTGGTTCTCTTCAATGTTGTTACAAAAAGATCGTGTTGAATGTTGATCGTATACTTATTCTCATTTATAGAATATTATTTTCTTTATTATTAAAAAAAAAACAGTCTTTATCGATCATTTGTTCGAATCTTAGCCGCGACTGACACAAGTCAATACAAAAGCAAGACAGTGTACGTCACAGAAATGACTTAAAGTATATGCCGTCTATACAATTTGCCAGCTAAAGTCGTTCGTAAAGCTTAGAACGTTGGAAAAGATCAATATTTTCATAATTACAATTTTTTGATATTTACGACTTATCTCATTCTTACGATGAAGTATCTTATACACTGACTTTGTAAAAATATTTTCAACTGTCAACACTATCTTTCCGTACTTTATGAATAATTTTCAGGAAGAATGTCAAAACATAAGAAAAAGGAAACCTTTCCAAGTCTGTAGGACAGTTATTACACGTATCTTCTGAGAGAGCATTTACATCCTCAGGTAGTACCTCTTTTATACCTAAAATAGTTTATAAAAAATGTTTGAAGGTTAAAAGTATTTATTTTAAATGAAAATTTGAAAACAAAAAAAAGTATTAACAAGGTAAACAATTTAAGGTTCCAACGAGATCATGTACTACACACACAGATACACAATATATATATTTATGCCTGCCTGCCCAAATTCCGTATAAGAAAAAGAGTCAACTACCATATAAAGAATAAAAATGGTCATTTATTAAGGAGTACAAATCATAAGAAGTTCACAATACATAATAGCATATAAAAAATCATCAAAGACGTTACACAAAAATGATGTGACAGGTACAAAAAAAATCCAACACTCCTTCAATAAATGACAATAAATCAAAAACCATATATGTACACAAAATACTACAAAACTATCACACATTTGTATCCTGAGAAATGGACTGACTAGTAAAATTATTATGCAACATTTTGGCCATTGAAAGGACTAGATATACAGTATGATCTAAACAAAGCAGTGATATGGGGTTATATAGCAAAATCTAAACATGCCCCCCCCCTTAATTTTTGTCACGGGAGAGTTTCAGTAGAGATTATTCCATGTTGACGTCACATCTGCCATGTCTCATCTGTGAAGCGAATGAGTTGGGAGACATGAACATCATAAGCAGGTGATAAGGGAATATTTCTACATTAAAAAGCAAAGTTGACGATGGAAAAATTGGTCATATTGTTTGTCATACTATTTTATTAGTTGTTTGTCTGTAGTCAGTACAACAATCCAGATATAAAACATGTGGCAGACTCTGTGTCGCTTTTATTAGGTCACCTGACCTATTGTTATCCGTTTTCGTCCGTCATCGTTCATCGTGCGTTAACATTTGAACATTTTCAGCTTCTTCTCTGAAACCACTCAACCAATTTCAACCAATTTTGTCATATAGCATCTATGGGTGAAGGGGAGCAAAAATTGTGAATTTCATAGTCCCTGCCCCCCCCCCCCCCCCCCCCGGGGGGGGGGGGCAAAACCACTAACATTCGTGCAATCTTTAAAAATCTTCTTTACTCCTGGACATCAAGCAGTTAAACTGTTGGTGTGATTGTAATGAGTCATTAGTAATGTTGGTGTTTGCCAGGGTGAAAATCTATCGCCTTTTTTTATTTTCCTTATACATGTATATTAATGACCTAGAGGAGTTTCTCTCTAACAGAAATATAATTGGTTTACAAAGCATAACTGACGCTATTGATGAATTCTATGTGTATCTTAAGCTTTTCATTTTGTTATATGCAGACGATGCTGTTATAATGGCTGAAACAGATGTAGACCTGCAAAAGGTTCTGGATGATTTTTATTTGTATTGTTCACAATGGAAACTTAATGTTAATGTTAGTAAGACAAAAATACTAGTGTTTTCTAAAGGACCAATGTCAAAAAAGATATTTTATTACAATAATAATGCAATTGAAAATGTAAAAGAATTTAAGTATCTTGGGATAATATTTTCACGCTCAGGCTCATTTTGTAAGGCCAAAAAACATTTATGTGAACAAGCACAGAAAGCAATGTATGGTGTAATAAGAAAGATAAGACAATTTAACTTACCAACTGAATGTCAGTTTGATCTTTTTGAGAAAGTTGTTGTTCCAATTTTGACTTATGGATGTGAAATTTGGGGTTATGAAAACCTTGACATCATTGAACGTGTACATTAAAAATTTTTAAAAGATATTTTCCATTTAAAAAGTAGTATGCCCTCGTATATGGTGTATGGGGAGACTGGTCGATTCCCATTGTATATTATTATTTTTACAAGAATGATTTCCTACTGGTTAAAATTGCTGACCGCGAATTCTTCAGAAAACAAAATAGTTTGTGTTTTGTATAAATATCTAGTATGTTCTCAATATTTTCAAGGAGGTCCCAAAAAGAAAAAAACATGGGTAGATTTCATTTATAAAATTTTAACTTCTTGTGGGTTCTCTAACATTTGGTATGAACAAAGTTCCATTGACAGAAATTGGGTACTTGCAGCAGTGAAGCAAAGATTAAAAGATCAATTTATTCAAAAATGGCATAGTGATATTAATAATTCATCAAAAGGTCAAATTTACAAAATTTTTAAGAGTGATATTGGATGTGAAAAATATCGAAGTATTTTACCTAGTAAACTCCAAAAAAAATACTAATAAAATTTAGAACTTCAAACCACCACCTCCCAATTGAAACTGGTAGATGGTCAAATATTCCATTAGATGAAAGAGTTTGTAAATTGTGTAATACAGGGCAAATAGCAGACGAATTTCATTTCATTTTAGAATGTAAAAACATTGAATAGTATCAGAAAGAATCTTTTACATCCCAGATTTTATAAACGCCAAATACACTTAAGTTTTGTTAAATTATGTCAACGAGAAATTTAAAATCTCTTAAAAAAAAAAACTTTGTATATATATTTCTAAAATAAACGACACCGTCTGTCCTCTACAATTTAATTGCTACCATACCTTCTTCTTTTTAATTCTTTTTCGTTGTATGTATATTGTTATACTTTGCACATATGTAATGCTTCTCATTTTTGCTATTGTATCATAATTATATTTATTATTTTTCTTACAATTATGACGACTAATTTATATTGTACCTCATGTACCACTAATGTTGGTGTGAGTGAAATAAATGAACTTGAATTAAACATAGTTTCGCCGATGACCAATCACAAGGTGCGTTTTTTTCCCCGAGTTTCGTTTTTATCATAAAAAAGCAGTTGTCTATTTAAAAATCCTTAATTTTCAATTTATCGTCAGTAATAAAGTATAAAGTATGGAAAAGTCACAGGGTTTAAAATCATCGACTAATTGAAAAAAATATTTTTCACTCATATAGAGCCGTGAATAGAAGTTAAAATGTACATGTAAATATTATTAATTCAAGTCATTTCAATTTTGTCGAACCTACCCATTTTCAAAATGTTATTTGTTGTTCTTTCTGTCGTAATACTTTCCCTGCATAATGTAGTCTCTCGAAGTTGAAGTGAAACGACTTACATACATGTAAGATATCTTCTTGATTCGTTTATATTCATTATTTTTCTATTTAATTCTTACCGAACTCCTTTAGAATAGCGTCACCCTTTAGCTCTACCCAGTTAGTATTACTGTAGAACTGCTGGATTGTATAGAGACAATGTCCTATTCGTTCCCTCAGTATTTCAATGTCTGCTAGAGATTCTGATTTCGAAAGGTCTATCAAAGATTTCCTTAAAGACCGCACGTGATTATGAGCTGAAAAATTAGGAAAGCAAGCTGTTTTATTTTAAAAATATGAAGAAACAATGTATGAAAAAAAAACACATATCACGAACAAATTATATACATAAAGAAATTCATACGTTTAAAGTTTTTAAAGCAATATTTAAAAATAAAATGAAATGAATAAGGATTAAGGTATTTATATTTTGAATGATAATCTTTAGATTAAACAATGATCACTTTTTGCTCGTAAATAACGGGTGCGATTTACTTCCGAAAAGGGATTTATAATGTACAAGATCTTCATTTGTTTTCTTTGTTAGTCGAAAACGTCCTATGTTCTTGGTTGATCTGATTATTTGAATAACCAAAGAAATATTTTCGCTTTAGCACTGAGACAGAAAAACAACAGGAGAATTATCGACCAATCATAAAACGTTGTCTCGATACTTGCATTAAATTTCTGTGTTGCGCTTGTTTGTTCGATAAAGAAAAACCTTCCTGGTTGTAAAGTTAGTCACAAGTCTTTCCAAAAGCATGTTCTAGATGTTTAAAGAAAAATTCCAGAGCAAACAAAGAACAAGGACAAGAGAGGTTTTAAATTTCATGAACGACCGAAATCGATAAACTATATAATTTATTTCGGAAAACGCAAATTTAATACATTTAATGAATTATTCACCGTCATGTTCAATTCAATCCAATTTTCTAATCTGTATATATTTTGTTGAGAGAATCATTAGCAGTAGCTAGATAGTTTTACGATCACGAACATGTGAATGTATATATTGTTATGAAATGAATGTTATATGTTCAATGTGAATGTTATATTATGTATATATATATATATCTATATATCCCTGAAAATATTAGATTTCCTGCAAAAGATTTAAAAGGCAATCCCCTGAATATATTTCAAACTGGGTTAAGTGATGGTTTTGTCTTTACGCAATTTATATATTGTGCAACTTTTTAGTTGAATTGATGAAGGTAGATGCTTAATTTACAAAATCGTAATAATTAATTAATTTTGTATCTCTTTACCCCATTATAAAATATTAAAATATAATATAAGGAGATAGACCCAAAGATGGGATAAATGATACGTTTATGGAAGCAAATACCAAATTAATACTGATCTTCAACAACATGTTTACTTAGCCTTCTATTTCTCTATTAAATTGGTGCAAAAAAAACTGCCTGTTGTATACTTTGTCATACAAACTGCGATATTACCCAGGACTATCTGCTCCCCATTAACGTGGTAATATGCTTTATCGGCCAACTCTCTTTGAACCTCGTTTTGATAATTGGTAATGGCAAAAATATTCTGAATAAAGTGGGTCTGAGAGTCTCTGTCTGTAATGAGATTAAATAAACATTCCATAAATATATGTTTTAAAACAATTAAGATTCCACAGTCATCAATTTTTAAATGTAGTATAACATGCACATGTAAATTTTACTCCGACTCATATCAGATTATAAAGAAAACGGTTCAGATGAAAAACTGGCGTCTTCATAAATTAAAGGAAAACTAAAATTTGAGTATAAAGGTGTTAGTTTGATTGACTTTTTGAGAGTCAAAGGAAAAAAATATAATTTTGAAATTATCCTTACCTTTTCCAAAAAACTCATTTAATGCTTCGCTCGGTGTTCGCCCAGTACTGTTAGCAAGATTATGCCTCAATAAAAAATTATACGTCGAAAGGTATATCCCGTATATATTTATCGTAAGATGCGACTTTGATTTGTATTCTCCTGGAATATTCTGAGGAGGAAAACTCAAAACACGGTAATGTCGATTAAATAATACACAGACCATTACAACGAGAGAGAAAAATCCTTTCATGGTGGCACATTTAAAGAGCTTCCTCTGTCAATATAACTTTGGTTTTATTTCAAATTTCAAGTATATTTAGAAACAACTAATTTGAATTCCAAGTCAGAATTCCCCAGTCCATTTTAAGAGAAAGTATTTTTAATATATCGTTTTCAATATCTGTTGAAAGTTATTTGAAATCTGTCAATCTATCATTGTATTATTTTATGACACGTAAACTGATTAAAATTGTACTCAATGAAAACATTCAGTGTATTTAAAAGGATTGATTTAAAATGATGCATTTACATCGACCATATTTTCCAAGTGTCATCTATATTGAAAAGATTTGGATGTATATACATGTAGCGTGCTCAGTCCGTCCGTCTAGCTGCATGTTTGTGTGTCCGCAAAAACTTTAGCATTGTCGATCATAGACATTTCAAATGTATTTTCCTTGTAACAGGACGTGTCCTTGGGTACCAACATATGAGCCTCGTCCGATAGAAATCGACCTTATGGCAAAATTTATCGAATTTGAGATTTTTGTGTATTTTAGTGATCCATGTAAAATCACGACAAAAACTCAAAACAGAATAAAAATATCTTCATTTATAATAAAGTTATTGCATTTTGAAATTGGTATGCTTGCAAAAAATTAACTCAAAGCATATCGCAGTTGTTCAGGATTCAATTGTGACGTCATGGTTTATTCTCAGTTGTTCAGTAGGGGCACCTGTCATCGCTTAGCAATCCAAGTGGTAATCATGTCTAAGTTATATAAAATGCTTAATTAATGACAAAAATAGTTGATCATAATCTACATTCCTAAAAATTGTAACTGTATTTTAAATCCTTTAAAAACTGAATACCCCCTCCCCCCGAAAAAAAGTTCTACTTTTCTGTCTTTCGTACCGACAAATCCGTCTCTACATGTAAGTATTTTTGGTTATGATTCCCAGAAACCCTACAAACAACCCCGAGGAATCCACTCGACTCTTTACAACCCCCATATCTGATGGAAAAAAATTTCCTTTGTCTGAATTGTGTCATAACTTAGCTGCCATTGACAAGTTGTTCTGCTACTGTCCATCATTGACTTAAAGACCAGGCAAAAGACACTGACACAAACTTTGGAAAGTTTCCCCATGGCTTACACACGGCTAGTCGGCTATAAGCTCTGAACCCCAGATGGCATCAAATCAGAAAAGACCGGATCACAGCATCAATTGCTGCAGATATAGTGAGAAGAAGAAAAGGTATTAATTAAAAAATCATGTTCATTTAAATTGTTTACATTTCTAAAACTTGATTATTTTTCATTCAATTATATTGATAAAAGTTTTCAACTTTTATTAGAAATAATAACAGTACATTATCAGGAGTTTAATTAACCAAAAATTACCAATTATTGCTTTAGAGTATGAACCTCTTGTTGAACGACTCAGGACAACCAGAAAAGTCGTGACGTCAAGTATGCGTCATGAGATTGCCTGTGAACCCATAGCAGCTTACGCCTATGTCTAGGTAAATTAAATGAATAATACAAGTAAATACATATGTAACAATGCATTGAAGATAAACTTTTTTTAAGAGGCTGTTTACGAGAAAACCATGCAGATGTATAGAAATAAGCTCTGGTAGGCAGTCTCAAGAACAAACTGATTTTCATTATTAACTTAAAGGACACCCACTGAGAGTCAGAAATATGTTGGTTATTTTTGCATCGGTTGTTTCTATTTTTAGTAACAGCCAATAATTCATTTTGGTCAATATTCAAGGGAAAAACAGATTTTTTTGTACTTTTTAATGTGTATATGTTTTTTAGTGGGGAAATTTTTTCAGTCTTTGTAAGATTTTTGAAAATTGTAGAGATTTTAAATAAAGTATATCTTAATGTTACATGAAATATAAAACAAATTTGGAAATAATTGAGATTTAATTTTTTCGCTTCATGTCTGTACTCTATGTGTTACATGTATGTAGGTCTTTCCTCCACCTTATCCCCCATCTTCTTAGTAAAGGAAAAAACCAATACCGATCGGGAACAACAGCTATTGTCGCAACATCGTCCGATAAAGCCAGGGAAGAAAATATGTCCCGTTTCACTTTATTATCGCACGTCCCCGTTATGGCTAAAACAGGGGCTTCTATTATGTTTCTCAGGATAAAACCTCTTTGTAGGATGGTCGAAAGTCTCCCCCCCCCCTTGAAAAATGATTTAAGAAAAAAAAGGGGATTTCAAACAAATATTCAAGATAGGAAAAAGGCACCAACCATTATGAAATGCAATGGGCCTCGTCGCAGGCAAGCACACATATTCTTGGCCTAAGCTCTTCGGAAAGTAGTATATTTCGCCAGTGGGGCGAGGTTGCAGATTCAGGGGATATAAATATGATGGAATACTTCCCCATCTTTAAGTCTTGAAAGGAATGAAGATAGAGAATAGAAAAAAAGTCTCATAAATATATTATGATTTGTCAAATATGAGATATTTAAAATCAACTTTTTACCCCGTATGCTTTCCAAAGGTGTGTCGGTCCAACGGCAAGAGCATGAACATTTAAGTTCTGCAGGTCTGCGACTTGATCAGCCATTAATGACCTCAAAGGCGACACAACAATTGAAACATGTTTTACTGCTAAATTCAACTGAGCAATTCAACTGAAAGATGACAAAATATTTGTAATGTCATATTGTACATTTTGAATTTGTCGCGGGCGCAGATCCAGAAATGTTTTCCAAGACACCCCCCCCCCCCCCGGTAAAAAAAAAAAAAATCCAACCCCGAAATTTCTCGGGAAAAAAAAACAAACACATAAACAAGAAAAAAAGGGAAGTTATTATTTTATATTTACTTATTTTTCAAAGGAGGGAGTGAAGAGGAAAGAGTTATTATAACGTACGATATATACTTGTAGTAATAACTCAACATTCGTTTAGGATACGGGGTGGAGTGTCGTTTTTAAACTTTAGAGGTTGATAAACCTGGGAAAAAATACTCGTGTGAATTACGGAAAACCAAAATTACCTAAAAATACTCGTGTGAATTACCGAAAACCCAAATTACCTAAAAATTTTTGAAAAGAAGAGAAAATAAAAAGAAAAACATTGGATATGTTATTCGATGTATCGAAAATTATGAGTACAGGAAGGCATTCTACCTGTAAAAAACTTTTGCCGGAGCGAGGAGAGCTTTGCATGTCTTGATGAAAAAGGAAGTGAGGAAAGGCATTCGTATGCTTTTAAAAGATAGGGAGAATAACGTACACAAAAATGTACTTATGAAATTTGAGAGATTTCAAATGACCAGATACCACCGAAGCTGTGGAGCAATTTGTGCCAATTCTATCAACTGCAATTGCAGCAACTGTAACAACTAGGAAAAACGAACGAAGTCTGCGAGGGTACGGTAAATTATATTGAATACAAAAGGCCATAGGCTAATTGCTATTAAGAATACACAGCGGATCCAGGTCTTTTAGGAATCTATTCATATTGAATTTATTTAGTAAATTTAGTTCAAATACAATCTTAAATACACCCCTTTACTTGATAAGAGGGAATAAAGGAGGAAGAGTCCTCCCTAATACTGACCCCCATTTTCCACTTAACCACTTGGTGTTTTTTTGGGGGGGGAGGGGGGGGGCATTTGCATGTTTCTTTATTTCTTTTCTTATGGTTGTCAAAAATAAGAAAGAAGTTTTTTTTTTTATTATACGTATCATTTTTTGTGCCCCGCTTTCGCGAAAGAGAGGGGGCATTAAATCTCATTCGTCTGTCAGTCTGTAGTTCTGTCTGCTTGTCACAAAAACTTCAAACTTGGTCATATTTTTGGAAAAAGAAGTGATGGCTTTCATATTAAATGTAATACAGCATTCATTGAGAAGAGACAGGGCCTTCATATTTGTTTTACATGTGAATTACCCGTGACAAGATATTTCCGAGCATAACCTAAGCCTAACGCTGATCCCTTGACATTGATCTTCTCGATTTACCTCATTTTCAAATAAATCATGTTACCTCATAACTTCTGAATGACATATGATTGGGCGTTCATCTTTGACACAATATGCCATAAATAATGACATCTCATTCAAAAAGACACTGAAAGTGGGGAACTACTGTTCTTTTAATTTGCTTGTTAATTCATTTTAGTTATTATCATTTCTTTGAGTTATTACGAACCCCCCCCCCCCCACCTTTAGAATTAATTCCCTACATCCGCCCTTATAATAAATTTTTTACTGTTTGCCTAATGTAATTTGTGCTTTTTTAAATAATATTAGGATTCTTAAATGGAATGTTTCATATTATATATTGAAACGCAAATTGACCCGAAACCAGTGGAAAATCACTTTTTATTACACTTAAAAGGTTTCAGCCGTTTCAAAATATGTGAGCCCTCCTGTACCTGTCAGAAATCAAGCAAATGACAAATTAAAGATGATTAAAATACATAATATAAATTTATTAAGTTGAAAAGTACAAAGTCAAACGCGCTCTTTATTCCTGCTCCGGCTTCTTGGAAGGGGTTGATAATATCTCGGGGTTTCTTGTCTTATACTTAATAGAAGGGCCAACAAAAGGTGCTGATTTCTTTATTTATATTAGAAGGTACACCCTAAGTATTAATGAGAAGGTGCAGAAGGTGTTGTATCAATGCTAAGGTATCTAATAAAGGTACAAATAGTGTAGATAATATAAAAACTACGATTGAAGAAATAGATCTAGTGGAAGGTGTTGCAAGGTGATAAAAGGTGTTGAAATCGTTTTAGTTGCACCTTCTAGGGAAGGTGTAGGGATGCTGACTATATGATACAGAAGGTGATGATGGTTTCCTACTTTAACATTTAATTATTCTGAATGAACTCTATGTAGAAATATGCTAAGCTATTGGAGAAGGTGTAAAATATTCACCTTCTGAGCTGGCTGGTCTCTTTGAAGTAACTGCTGCTGACTCATTTTTGCTGTATGACCGAAGTGATGATTTTAGGTCGGGATCGGCCTTATATACTAATAATCACGTGACCCTTCATTAT